CGGGCCCCTGGGCCTGCCTGCCCCGCGCGCCCCCTGCTGGCCGGGAACCCTCGGGGGTCTCAAGGGATCGGCGGGTGGGCCAGGCTGCCGCCGCGCTCTCTGGCGGCAGTACCTGTAGTGTGCTTCCAGGTTCACCTGCAGCTTGAACTGCCCTTTGCACCAAGCGCAAGAAAATGGTTTCTCCTCTTCGACGGGGACTTCTGGGGGCTGCGGCTGAGGGCCCTGCGCCCTCCCCGTGCTCTGCACGAGGGCCGGGGCCGAGGGTGGCCGGAGAGAGCCTGTGCAGTTCTCATCGCAGGCGGCGTGCGCCAACTGCATCTCCTCGAGGCGGTCTTCCGCGTGTGTGGCAAGGCCGGGCTGGGGCAGGACCGTTGTCCCGCAAGGACGAGACTTCTGCTCGGATAACTTTTCTGGGGCCGCGACAGGCACGGGCATCCGTGGAAGCTCAGCCCGCAGCTGGCACGGCAGCGGGACTTCCTCTGGGCTCGCGTCGCCCGATGCGTGCCCGGCCGATTCCAATTCCGACTCCGCCCGCGAGAGGCTTCCTCCGGAATCGAACGCGCTTCCTCCAACTGCCGGCACACGTGAACGCTCGGGACTCCCCTCGGCATAGCTCCTGCCGGTGGTCTCTTCTTTAGAGAGAGCGCAGGTGGCCTCCAGAGGGTCCCCCTGCTCAGGAAAGCTTTCCTTGCCCGTTGGGGACCGATCTGCATCTACTGGGGGAAGAAGGGAATTTGCAGTTATGACAGATCAGAAGAGGAGCAAGTCCAGTTCTGGCGGAAGCCCCCAGCCAACCTTGGTGGGCTTTATAAGAAGCAAAGCAGGACCAGAACTGGCTGGCCCTTGGAGGGGGGGGGCCACCAGGAGATCCAAGGGCCATAGGCTAAGCTGGGAAGCAAAAACATCCTGAAAAAAGGCAATGGCAAATGATATCATTGCCAAAAGAATACAGGGAATGTCCATGGAGTCACCAGGAGCTGAGCTTGGGGGAGACTTTATTCCAAGAGGAATGAAGCTGCGAGAAGTGGGGGGTTATCCCGGCAATCACCTCTTCGGGGCCTTAATTAAAACTTATTGCAAGGGAGGAGGACTTAATTCTCAATAAAAGAGCGCTGCCAGAAGAGGCTGCCACAAGGCTAGCCTGGACAGAGGGACATTAAAGAACGGCTTGACCCCAAACGGGGTCTTGCGCGCGTGCTGGACTCTGAAGCGCCACCAGCTGAGATGATGGGAGTTGTAGTCCAGCAGCTCCAGCAGGCGACAAGTTGGAAAAGACGGTCTTAACCCACATGAGAAAAGCAGCAACGATGGGTTTGCCATCTAAGAACAACTGCGGGAGATTGCGCTGACGCTGCCCTCGCCCAGCTCCCATGCGCTTTTACTCACTTGCAGAAAGAATTCCAGAAGGCGGGTCATCCAGGAGTCTCACAGGTTTGGGGACGTTCAGACGTTCGTTTTTTTCAACCCAGGCGAAGACTTCGGCCGAGGTGATCAGGCGCCCCCCTTGAAGGGAAACAGGCAGGTCAGAGAGGAGGCGCTTCAGTGTTTCCCAACCTCAGCAACTTTAAGATGCCTGGACTTCAACTCCCGGAAGAACCCTAACCCGATTTTACAGTCTTTTTTGTGGTGGTCATTAAGTGAATCAATGTGGTAGTTAAGGGAATCATGTGGTCATTAAGTGAATCACGCAGTTTCCCACTTATTTTGCTTGCTGGCAGCCAGCTGGGAAGGTCACAAATGGCAATCGTGACCCTGGGACACTGCCACTCTTGTAAGCGCAAGCTGGTTGCCAAGTGCCTGGATCGCAATCATGTGACCGCGGGGGTGCTGCAATGGTCATAACTTCGGGCACTGGTTGTAAGTCACTTTTTAGTGCCATCATAACTTCAAACAGTCACTAAACAAACGGTCATTAAGTGAGGACCACCTCCCTTTGTCCTCACTTAATGTTGGGGCCTGGGGTCCGAGGGGGTCAAATGGGATCAGGTTCAAAAAAGTCAAGGCTGTCATTGCAACATGCATGTTAAAAAGGGGTAGAACTTTTGATCATGCAGTCAGAACCATTTTAACTTTTCTGACCCCCCGTCCCTGCCTTGCAGACCCCTAAGATACATAAAGCCAATACAACCATCGCCGAGCAGAGAGCTCTGTGCTTTTAATTTGGCTTTCCCGAGCCTTGGAGGGATCGTGTCCCACATCCCCAGCTGGAACAGCAGAGTGGCTGGGGATGAGGGGTGTTGTAGTTCAGTCCTTGAGAAAGCATCTTGACGGGTAACAGCTGTTCTAATGACTTGTTTGTTACTCTTCGATCCCATCTTTCATAAGGGGGTCGAAGCTGTGTAAAGAGCCCTCTGTCCTCCCATTTTTGCCCCAAACAACAGCCTTGTCAGGTAGGCTAGGTGAGAGGGAGGGACTGGCGCGGAGTCCCCCCAGGAGCCTCCGTGGCTGAGGGCGACTCGAATTTGGGTCTTCTGCTCCTGGTCCAGCTTCTTTCCCGCTGGACCCCCCGGCTGCCCATCGGGCCGCCCCAAACCCCCAGCCCTCTCCCGCCCCGAGGCGGCTCCTCACCCACGAGGACCAGGGCCTTGTAGGTCTCCCGCAGCATTTCCCAGTAGAGCTCCTTCTGCGGCGTGGACAGCAGCCGCCATTCGCCCCGGGAGAAGCAGACGATGACGTCTTCGAAGCTGACCAGCCCCTGAAGCAGAAGCGTTTGCACTTGAGAAGCCAAGC